TGAAGGAAGGAGAAGACGACAAGTTGGTTTGAAGTCGAGAGATTTAATTGCTCAGAATTTGGAACTTCCAATCAATTTCCCTAAATCACAATAAATTAAGAAAGTCTTTCATATAATAATATACATATATTTTTTTAATTTTCATTTCAACGTTAATTTATATTAAAAAAAAGTTTCATAGGGTGAGGAGATCAAAGTGATGTATGTTGTACAGTACTTGTTATATGATGTCGCGTAATACTTTCTCTTAGGAGTATATGGTTCAATCAGAACGCGCAATTAAATCCTTTATTAAAGATTTTTAACTATCAAATAATCCTCAATTATTCTGACCTAAGTACTTGATTAGCTCATTTTTTTTTTTTTTTTTTCGGTCGTTTGAAATTAAATTGTAATTCATCTAGAATTCTAAAAACTGTACTATCCTAATCCAAGCAAGTTAAACTGCAAACTCGCTATCTACTGATCGTATCTCTAGCATCGATGAATAGAAATTTACACGTTTCATCTATTGAAAACGCATATCTACGTCATGTCATGACGAATCCAACGAGCTTTCTAGATATCAAGCTAATGCAGTTTTAGTTATGACCAGACTTTTTTTTTTTTTTAAAAAAAAAAAGAGCATCAATAAAAATGTCAAACCATAAAAAAAGTCAACGAAAACATAATCTTAGTAGTTTGTTTTATTTTTAAACTCTAAATTAAATATGTTCAGTTGCCTACAAACAAATCTTTTGTACAATAGTGTTACAAAAGAATTAAAGAATTAAATCTGATATTCACTAGTTTTCAACATCGTGAAAACAGGTTTTTTGTTCTTAAGATCTGTTGTTCCTTACGATTAACCTGGTTAATTAACCATTAATTAACCAAAAGATAATTAACCGAAAGAAAAATAATTTTAGTCGACAAGAGAAATTTTTTTTAAAAATTTTTTACAAAGTTTTATTTAGAATTATATAGTGATACAAAAAATTTATAATGTTTAATTAACCAAATCTTAAATTAATCGTTAATTTCCCATCCTCCATAGGATTTCAATAGATGATAACAATATTATTCTTTGTGCAGTAGATTTAATTTCTTCATCCAGAAACTGCCATCAACTGAAAAATAAACGAAAAGAAGCAAATAAATAATTTAGATTTGGAATAACTCTTCCTTAATTTGTTTGTTAAATTAAATAATCGAAATATTTTACATAATATACAAAAAAAAAAAAATTCACATTTATATACTGTTAAAAGTTCTTGTTTGGAAAAAAAAAAAATTGGTTTTAATTCCTTGCTTCTTGAATTTACGTATTGGTAACTTCATAACTGATAACGGAAATGTATCGGTTCATGTATATTAATTGGTTTAATATCTTCATGTTTGATAGATTTATCTTCTATACGGCCGTCCAAGTAAGGTTTGATCATGCATCGACTTTTAATATAATGTTCGACTTCAACTTCTTCATTTCCAATTGGAATATATTCGATTGGATATGGGAGTATTCTATAAAATACATTTCGAATTTTTAAAATGAATTTCATGTTTATATATATATATATATATATATAAAAAAAAATTTTGATATTTACCCATCACCGGTATTTGAAATAAAATCATTGGTCAAGATTTTATAAGGTTCACTCAAATTTATAGATTCAAATTTTCTAGTTTTTGGATTTCTTATTTTAACTTCCAACACTCTATCATACATCATCCTAGAAGAATCATATGTAAATCGAATTCCTGAAACTTGTATAAAACTAGTGATTTTCTTTCGGGATAATTTATTTTCCCATCGACTAACAACGCCTTCTAACATGTCCGTAATATTTTGTCCAGTCATTTCAATTTCCACCAAGGAATTTTCAAATGGAAGAACGGTAATAACATTCTCTCGAGTTATATTTCCTTTTAATAAGGAAGCTCTAATTCCACCTGCATTCATTAAAGCCGCATGACTATTATTTCTTGATTCTAACATTGCATCAGTGATTAAATTTCCCATAGTACATTCTCCTCGCTGACAATTTAATTGATTGAAATCGTCTTTGGCTTTTCCTATAACTATTTTAACATATTTATCGAAAGGTTCACGCCATTTCTTAACAAGTTCTAGAACACCAGGGTCTTGAGGGATTGATTGATCAACTAAAATCGGTCCCCCCGTATAGTTCACAACTCGTCCTTTCATATCAAAAGTAACGTCAAGGTGGCCGATATATTTTCCAGACCAGAACGCCTGACAAAATTTATTAAAAAGGTTAATAAAATAAATTCACCTTAAAAGAACTCATAATAATTATCAACTTACTTGAACGATTAAAGTATCTTCGCCCAAAGCATTTCTTACGACAGTTGGATAAGGTCCTAAAGCATGATCATAATCTGGCAAAGTTGTATCATTCGCTAAAAGGGTATGACTATGACCACCAATATGAACAGCAACTCCATAAGTTTTAGCGGCAAGTTCCTTATCAGGACCGTATCCATTATGGGAAATGGTCAAGATTCTTTTAATTCCATTAGCGCGAAGTTTGTTTACGTAATATTGAACGGTTGGGATAGGGTCATAGAAGCTTAGGGTAGGACCGGCATTTGAGATACCTCCTGTTGTCTAATTCGAAAGGAGAAACTATATCTTTTAGAAAATTAAGTGATGTTCAATTTAGATTATATATATCACGACACGGATACTTACGTTAGTGATGTAACCGATAACAGCGAGATCGTATTCCTTGAAGATGTGATATGGTTTTATGTATTTTCGGAGTGAATGATTTAAAGTCGTATTAATGTTTGCACACACAATTGGCATGGTCAAACGTGAATGATGGGCTGCAAGAGAATCTGGACCCTTATCAAATTCGTGGTTTCCAATGGCCTGGATAAAGAATTAATTAATCAACGTGTAAAATTGGAGTTGATACTTAAACTCGTTGCTTACCGTAGCATTATATCCGAGTAAATTCTTTATTTTTTTATTTTGCGAAATAGAATTTGAAAGGAATCCGTTAAATTTATTACACTCAGATATTGACAAAGTTTCTGGTAGTTTAAAAATTAACTTACTAAAACTTTGGAATTAATTTCTCCCTGAATAAAAAAAAAAGGAAAAAAAAAAAAATTTAATTAGAAGTGAAATACAAGATATAACTCACAAAGATTTACTTACACCATAATACGTGAAGAACATCGATCCTAATTAAAAAGTTTAATCGACATTAATTAAATTCACCAAAAAAAAAAAAAAATTTTTTCCTCACCTTGGAATTGATCACCACCATCCAATAATAGCGAATTATTACTTTTGTTCCTCAGCCTATCAATCAAAGTTTTATGTCTGGCCGTCCCACCATAACAATTTCCTGCTTCAAATTGTTCTTTGGTACAATCAGTAGCAGCGGAATTAATTTGGTCATAACGAGAATGGACATCATTTGTATGAATAATTGTTAAATTCCAGAACTCTTCCTCTAAGATAGGCGGTAATGGAGGTAATGAAACTTTTGGTGAAAATAACAAATAAAATGAAGTCGTAAGGAACGAAAAAAAGATTATATTTAATACGAGGGTTAACCAAAAAAATGTTTTTTCCATAATGTTTTTTCTAACAGTTTAGAGAACAGAATCAAAAAATTTTTTTTTTTAAAAATTGAAAAACTTAGAAAAAATGGATTCTTTTTATATGACGAGTCCAAAATACGACGGAAAAATCTTCTCACGGCTATGACAAAATAATTTGATACGAGGAGTAATTCGGAATACAATAATTCCGATGGTCAAAATAGGACATTTATCACGTGTTATGTAAAAAATATATATCGATATATAGATTAATGATATACAAATCAATAGTATTTATATTGGGGGGATAACATTCTATAAAGAGTATATATAAAGATGACTCTTAATGTAAACATGCAAGTATATGCAAACCGATAACAATATGTGGTTAATACAAGTTGTTCAATTTATTGCTAAAAACTTGAAGTACAATAGAGTAAGGTAGATTTTCATCGGAGATGTTAATAAATTATTTATTTATTTAGTTTATATAGTTATAGCATTCGTCGAAGATGAAAACGATTAATTCTTTAATAATATATCCGAAAACGACGAGAATCACATTTTATAATTTCAACGCAACGCTTACCATCTCTTGCCACTATTAATGGAAATTTGGGAGATTATATTAAAATAAGTAGTAATATCTGTATGGGATTCTCAAGGTTTTGTTATGGTTATTCGGTATAAAAAAAAAATGATATAAAAAAGTCATCAAAAGGCATTATTATTCATAATCAACGTTGTAAAATATCGTGGACATTTATTATAATTAATCGGGGCCATGTATTGCGAAAAATAACCTATTCGAAAATGATATCCCCATGAATATTTTGAATGATAGATCATATCCATATATATATATAGTATCCATCCTACCCACATTAGTAACGTTAAGAAAAAGGTTTTTCTAAAAAGATCTTTTTATTTTTTAATTGATATAGATCCTTTTCTGTTATGGGATCAAAATTTTCTTTCAAATGATCATCTGAATGCATTCTTTTTAATCATTATTGCCCTCAAGAATTTAAATGTTCTCAATCGTTTATGCTCCCGAGTGAGTATCGATTGTATAGTTGATATTTGATCAACCGTAATACAATAGATTACGTTTACGCTTCGGGACAATTATTTCGTAGCCGAGACAAAATCTATTCACCATATTAGTTCAATAATGCTCATGATATCATTCTTTTTATTCTTTTGGTTTATTAAATTTACAAAGGTATGAAATTGGTTAATTTCAATACATTTATTTATATTTATTACACGTATAATTTCTCCATCGAGTAACTTTTATATTAAAAGAATTATTGCCTTTTTAGGATACCGTGAAATTAGAAGAGGTGCCAGATTCGGATTCAATGGTACCGCCAAGTAATTTATGATAGCCCTGATAAAATATACGATAAGTTCCAGCTGCAAATCAAAGAAAAGGGATAAATTAAAAATCAATTTCATTTTCATTTTCATTTCCATTTTTTTTTTTTCAAGATTTACCCACCTATAGTATCATTGTCAATTTCCCAAATAATCCTAACAATACTATGACCCAACCATTTAAACTTTGTGGTCCAATCACCATCATTTTTAACGTTAATCCATTTTTCACCTTCAAGTCGTTGTACGTAAAGAAAACTACCTTCCAATTGAATGACATTTTTAGGATGACCACCAACAAATTCAACTTCAACCGTTTCTCCTTTGGTATAATTCGCTTTAACATCCTTCCAAATATCCCCAAATTTCTTGAAAAGAGGAGGGATATCAACGATGATTGGAAGTATAAAATTTAAAGCTTTATCGGTAAAATCAGGAGTTGCGGGACCCTTTGGTAAAGTGATGTTATCAGCCATCGAATTAGCTAAATCTTGATAGATTTGAAGATAAGCGTCTAACGTATTTGGTCCGTAGATCGTTGAAGCACCTTCATATCTTTGCACGATGTACTCTTCAGGTGTGGTGATATAATGTGTATAAGTATTTGACGGTCCGCTAACAATTACAATTCCTCCATCATCAATCACTCCTCTTTCCACAAGCACTTTCTTGATAGTCTTTTTTAATCTTCTGCCGCTCATGGTAGTAAATTCTCCTGGTACGACACAAATTATAATATTACCAATTTTAAGTAATTGCGTGTCAACGATTGAAGGAGTAAAATCATAAGGTGAGGTCATTTCACCCGTAGCCAACACAATCGGTTTAGGTCTTTGACATTCAATTGTCTCTTTGGCGGGCTCTTTTATAATCCTTCTTACCAAGTTCCAAAATGGATTGCCAGTACCATTATCCCCTTGTATAAAGTTAAATCCACCCGGTCCATCCGTTGTACCCGCGGCCATACTATACCCAAGAGCTGCTTTACATAACGAAACTTCCGTACCATTACGTGTAAATTTATAATTTTGCATGTCAATTCTTGTGTATCTATAATCAATCGACCCATTGACAAGGGTCGTCGCCGAGCTTATCAATTCTTTTGCTTTAGTAACGTGTAATTCCGCTATGATTTTTGTCGCGTATATATCATCTCCCGTCAAATATCCATACCCTCTTCCCCAACAATTATCCTTTTTACCGTTACATGTACTCGTTTTATAATCACAGGGATTTCCCGTATCAGCACAGTAAGGTCCGAAGATGTTTGGCGACGAATCCCCCAGATTACTATTAGAAAAAGCGTGAACGATAGTCTCTTCCCCGGTCAAAGTACCATTTCCATTGTATTCCCTCTCCAAGAAATATGATGCGGCACCTTTATTATCTCCCGATATCAATGTATTATTGTTCATCATCGATACTGGGTGTACGGGAAACCAATTCAAACTTCCAATAACGTCACCGTTAGCATTAGTAAATTTCAATAATATCATTTCTTTATCGACATCATATGTATATTCGGACCTCTCTTCTTTGGGATTGTTTTCATAGGAAAATGGAGATCTATTGACATTCACATCTAATAATTCTCCACTTGATACGTAAATGGATGCTGGCTGTATGGAATTATGCGCCTTTACTATTGAATTAAATATTCCGGTTGATATTGCTTCCGTATTCTCCTTCACGTATCCGAATGATGTTATTTGATACAACTAATTTTGAAGATAGATAGATATACATATTATTATTATTTTAAGAATTAATTGATTTGCATAACTAAATGCTTACTGCGTATTGTAAAAATCCAGCTGGACCAGCATGTGTATGCGTTCCCGAAATAGCAACTAAGACATTAAAACAAAAAAATAAGAGGAAGGTTAATGCTAACTTTACGAAAAAAAAATTCCTTGATCTTTTCCCCCTTGATAAATTACCATTCTCTTCATTATATAAATTTCCAAAAGTTGCATTTAATTTTTTTAAAGTTGCGGTTCTAACGGCCGTCGTTCCCATATTAATATCCACAGAAACGAATACAACCCTTTTGTTCGTACTTGGATCGATGATAATGAACGCTCTCGATCTTTGCCTTATATGTATTCCTTCCGCTATTTGTCCTGGCATCGCATAACCCATCATATTAACTCCAGCTAAACGTCGAAAAATGAGTCAGTATGATGCGAGTGATTAGTGAAAACAAAAGGACAAAAGGGTAGGATGGGTCACCTGCCGTTCCTGTCACATCCGCTATTCCAATTCCAACCTATAATCATACAATTAGGGATTAGGCTAATGTAAAAAAAATTTTTTTTGAAATTTGAAAACCTTTGAACTTGCATTGTATTCATCTGTTGCCCTTGGCGATACTGCGCCAAAGACCGTATTTCGATGTAACTGCGCCGTAATCAACAGTAGCGCATAAACCCACATTTTAAGCATGCTTGCGTTCACAAAAGATTTCATTTTAACATATAGAAGTGACCAATCGTAAAAATAATTATTGGAAAATGAGAGATTTTTTTCGATTCAAATGAAAAATAATCGGCCAAAATATCGAACAAGTCTAAGGACGGGGCTAAGTAAGAGGCTTGATTTGAAAAAAAATATATTTATATAAAATTTGTTTTCTCTTCAAAGGATTCACTCTACTCGGACTTTGTTAAAATCATTGCG